GTCACAAGGAGCATTGGCGTGATCCAAAACAGACTTTATTTTGATCGATGCGTTATTGACCAAGGACATTGCAGCATGAGATCTCATGGCTGCACCTCATGGATTGCAACTGCATTTGCCGATCGTTATTGTTACTTTTGGCCTTGTCGAGATTGTACTCAAGATCATGAATCATTGGTATTGTCCAGCGATTGACACCTTTTGATCAGATATGTGATCATTGTCCGGCGAACATTGATGCGCTGAAGGCTTCTGCATATTCCGACATTGAAGACTGCGATCATGCTTGCGAGGCGCGCGTTGCTCATCACGTCGACGGGTTGATCATTCCGCGTTGCGTTGTCAGATTGAAGCTTGAGTCTGATATTCACGCGCATGATCATCCGAGCATTCGCGGCATTTCACTATTCAGTCCTCTGATAGGTGGAGAGCATTGAATAATAGCTTTACATCAGGATTGCTGGATCAGCCTGTTTGCTGCTCTAGGATTGAGTATTTAGTCCGCCTTCATGGTTTTCAACATTGCGCCCGCCAACCGATTGCCGTTGTTCATTGTTTATTGTGTCAGCAGGATTATCAGCTTTACTCTTATGTCTGTGGTAGTCTTGACCAGATTGCCCGATTTTGCAGGATTGTCCTTCTTGGAGCATCAGCATTCACTTGTGATGCACTGCATTTGCGATTGAACACAAGACTGCTTGAGAGAGTGTACGAGTGCAGAGAGATTGTCCAACAGATGATTGAAGAGACAGCCAGGCAAGCTGGATGCATTGAACTTTGCCTTGATATTGCCATTGCTTTCGGAGCACTAAGGAAGGACAGTGGCATTGATCCGAAGGTCGCGAGTTCGATTCTCACTCGCCACGCGAATTGCATCTTCTGTTTGACTGAGGCATTGTCATGTCACACACTCGGCTGCCATCGCAGAGATCGTGACGTCAGATATGGAACTGGCCATCGGCAGGAGTTATTGATGTCGATGAGATTCTGTGGTCTGATTGTGGCCGTCATGTGTGATGTTACGTCAACATTGTCCATCCGACTTTGCAACACCGGATCTGCTGTCGCATTGCATTGATTGAGCTCTAACGTCTCAGTCATTCAGATCTCATTGCGCGAGCATGGTGATTCGCATCACGCTGATCATCTGATTGAGTTGGACCTATTGGTCCAGGCATTCCGCTTTTGGCACTTTCGATCTCTTTTGATTGCCTTTTGCGCTCATCAATTCAAGATTGATTTTATTGACCAAATTGTGTGCCTTCATCATCACTGTGATTGTGTTTTATTGTTCGATTCTGAGCTTATTGGCAAGATTGTCTTGAAATGATCGAGTTTGACTCGAATTGTCTGCCTGAGCCGTTGTTACGCCTTGTCTCATTCTCTTTGTCACCATGGTGAGACTGAGGAATCTTTGAGGTTGACTAAGGATCATTTGGAAGGACCACTCGATATCAGCATTGCGCTAAGGATCGGATTCTCAGTTGAGGACCTCCTTGCGATTGGTGACCATTGTTCAAGAGTCATTGTTGATCTCATTCGAAGTCTCATGCGGGACCGTTGGTTACTGATTGGTAAAGTACATGAGATTCAGTTTATTGATTGCTCTGTCTGTCCGATTCACGAGAAAGTTTCTTCATTGACCTTCGGTCTCAGTGAGATTTTCTGGTTTGTCATTGTCTGTCATGATTGTCGTGAAGAGTCTGCGTTGGACGGCAGACACCGATGGAGCTGGCAGCTCGTCATTGATGGTCACGCAGTGACGGATCCTCATTGTCGCTGTTTGTTTCGCCTGAAGAGACATTGCTCTTCTGCTTGTCATTGTTACCACCGTCAACATTTTGATTGCCACGGTCTTGAGAACCTCACTATTGTTTGTGACTTGGTCTCGATTGTGTTTGATCTCTGCATTCTTGAAAATACCCCAAAACCAAACAAGCATTGTTTCATCTGTCTCACAGGAGAATTGACTGGTTTTGCCTGAGGGACCGCCTCACTCAGGCGATTGCATGTTCCATTGCGTATGCTTCTGCCTCAGAGTTCGCATTGCGTTAAAGAAAGAAGAGGTGAGAATTGAGTGAATTTCTCGGAGCTCAGCATGTGCATTGGCATGACTTTATCATTGTGTTTCAACAAGAAGATTTTCATTGGAGGTGAGACTCTCCGTGTTTGAATTGCAAGAAACAAGAATTTCCTAAATTTTTCAATTGGCTGACATGATTCGGCATTTAGTGGAGAAGTGTACATAGCAGTATGACATAGCATTGGCACTGAGAGCCGAACATTCATTGTTTCGAGCTCTACCAAAACTTGTTTTGGTCAAGCATTGCCGAAACTGTATATAGCATGATTGGAAGTCGTTTTGAGAAGATTTTAAATCTGGAGTGCGCCTTCTGTGTGAACTGTTGATTTACTGATTGCTCCCGCTTGCGATTGCTCTTAGATTGCGAAAATTGATTCGTCCGCGTGATTGCCTTAGATTGCTCTCCATTGCCATGGCTTCGACGGCAAATGGCCCAGAGTTCAATGTCGGTGCCCCACCGACGACATTGCCTCAGGGCATTCCAAGGCATTGTCAGTCAGATTGCGAACCATGTGCATGAGCCGATGCAAAAATTGCGTTGGGCAGAGAAGACGATTCTGGCTCGATTGAGAGAGGCTTTTGCCATCTTCTTTTCGCACATTGCCATGATTGCTGCAACACTTGAATTGTATTAGTGGCGGGCTGCATTGATCGAGGTTGTGCAGACGATTGACCACTACTGCGATTTGACCTTGAGCGAAGGCATTGTGCATTTGGATTGCCCTACCATGTTGCAGATTGTTGACTTGATTCGGAGGGGAAACTCACGCAAGTAACCAAAATCCTAAACCCTAAACCCTATTTCAAAATCAGTCTTTCTTCACATCACTCCAAAAACCTTCCAACGACTCTTCAAGCGAATACACTCATTCAAGATAAAGCTATTCCGATACATAAGGCTCTCTGCAGCGGCTGTTTTCAAGAATGGTGGAATGCATGTCGCCGATCTTTCACTCGACCTTTTAAGCATGGCCTGCCACCCGTGGGAGATGCAAGCCATGCCGCGGATCAAGAAGACCCCTCCGAAGGAAGAGCCGTGGCAGGGCTCCAATCACCAAGGTGTGCTGGATTCACGCTTCTGCTTCTTGCTCATGGCCGTCTCAGGACCCTCTGCCTCCGACAGCCTGGCCAGCGTGGACCTCGCAGACACAAACTCCTCCCGGGAAGCGGCCAACCGAAACAACAGATCCAAAGGCAACTCCTCCAAGGACACCTGCACGCGATGCTTTAACGCAAAGGCACTGAAGTCACCGTTCGTCAAGGCATCCGCAAGGCTGTTCTCGTCTCTAGGGCCCTAGGACGCCACTGCAAGTTCAACCTCTTGTTGACCCTATGCAAGGCAGCCGCACAAGCCATGTGCACACCAAGAAGTGGCCGCTTGGTCGTAGCATTCTTCTTTGACAAGGAGTCAGCCGCACTGTTGTCAGTGCCACCTACAACGCACACCCTTAAGCAATCCACTACACCCGGCCGGGGCGCCTCTAGAAACCCAAAAGCTTGCAGCGATGCCAGCGACGCCAGCAATTCGGCACTTGTCGAGGCCCACGACGAATCCTTGCTCTCGTTGAACAAGAAGGGCATGTCGTCCGGCAGGATTTCTAGGGAAAACCAAAGTGCACTAGACGGGTCACTAACATCCCCAAGCAACCAACCCCCCAAGACGATGCGTCCTCGCTCACATTTAGCGTCGGCACGGAAAGCCTCCCGGGGCGCTTTCCACTCCTGCAGCATGCTCTGCATGCCCTGCGATGCTTCAAGTTGCTCGCGGATGAACAAAAGTAACAGGTGAACCATCTCTGGCAACCTTGCAACCGTTCCTTTCTTCAAGACAGCGTTGAAAGCAAAGATGGGTGACAAGAATGGCTTAATCCAAGTCAGGACCCGGGCCACGAAGTTGAGACGTCCCAGGAACTCGTGTAGCCTTCTCCCTTGCACAAACCAGCTGTTGCCCTTGACCTCATCAATCCATCCTATCACCCACGAAGTGCGTTTCGGTGAGATCCCAGCGCAGGAATGTTTGTAGGACAAACAGTAACCTACGAACTCCACCTCGAGACCACCTCTGAACTTGTGGTACGCAAACGGTGTTCCCGCGATCTCGTATGCAGCCAGTGCCATCCAGAGCACCAAGAATTTCTTCTCGCCTACCAAGATGATGTGTAAATCATCCACGTAGACTACCTGGAAGTTCCACAGTGGGCCTAGCACACGAAGCACCCAGCGGCCTACTGCACCAAACAAGCGAGTCCACCAAATGGCGGCGGACGAGACGCCAAACGTCCCCGCCTTGTTCATCCACACCACATTGGAGGAGCTCGAACTCTTGCGCGCCAACAGTGGCCAATCCTTCTTGCGAATCTTTGCACGACGGTGTGCTTGCGAAATGTCTGCCGAAATCGCGAACGGTGCTTCGCGGGATTCTTTGGCACGCGCAACCATTTCCACAACCTCAGGCGGGCCTGGGACCTCCAGGCGGTCCTCAATGATTATGGAATTATTTAGGCGAATCCCATGTGTTCCATCAAAGAGAGGCCTGATCTCCCCATTAGGTTTTTGTAGCGCACCCATCGCCGCGATGAGTAGCCGATCATCCCCAAACTCCTGACGGATCTTGCCCTCGGTGCTAGCGATCATCATTCCCTTCATCTTCACGGAAGTGTGCTTCAAGCTGTTCACAGGACATCTCTGCTGAAGAATAATTCTCCATCTGAGGCTCGAACTCTGTCTCATCCAACTTTCGAAACTTCTCCCGCGGTCTGAACACCTGAGGCGCCCTCGGCAGAGGGGCATCATAGCCCACCGGCACACCTTTGGCGAAACATTCTTCACCGTTGACTAAGATACCGAAGTCAGGGTCCCCCAAAGCTTGCAATGACCTCGCCAGCATGTGCAAGAAGAAGGATTGCCCCTCAGGCACTTCAAGAATGTCCGGCGAGCCTCCAAGCACAGCTGCAATCTCCTTCCGAACGCGCTCCAAAGCCGCTGCACAGAAAGGCGACTGTTCCAACTTGCCAGTGGCCAGCTTGAAAGCACTTGCCCTCAAGTCCTTGATCTCATCACACACGAAGTCCTTCAAGATTTCACGAATCGTTTTTGCATGCCCTGCCTCTTCGGGCGATGCCAGCATCTCTCTGGCCTCCGGTGCCCATCGGCCTGGGGAACACAATCCGAAGCCATCCGTAAACTCTTTCTTGCCCATCTCGTAGCGACAGATCATCGGCTGGCCAAAAGCACGACTCGTCCCTGGATCAAAACTCTCAAGCACCGTGCTGCCTACTGCATCCTTAGGCCTATCCAAAACCTTAGGGCGAAAGGAACTAGACCCCGAGCTGGGTTCGGGTTCAAGCGGACTGGAGAGCTCCTCAGAACCCCCCACCGACGGAAGCGAGGCACTCTGCCAGTGGAAACCAAGGGATTCGAGGAAGCTGGCATCAGCGGCAGTTAAGGTTTCAAGCGCAAGCGGCGTGTAGCGACAATTGCACGGTCACCTGTCCATGGCATGGTCTCATGCAAAAGATCCCGTGCGCGAAGGTAAATGGGACCATCTGCAAAGCTATGCGCCGTGCCAGCAACCAATGTGCCCTGATGCCAACGGAACTCGTGACTTGCAGCATCTTCAATCCACACACCGTCGCCCTCAAAGGCGGTGATGGGTACGAGCAAATTAGGCAAGCTGGAATTGTTGTGATCCCGGTGAAGAGCACTATGCACATTGCGAAGAATGACAAAAGCTGCAAAGGGGTGAGCAGCATCAGCGGCCTGGATGAATTGGCAAAGTTTCTGCACGGCCATGGGAAACTGACGTGTCGTGGGGCGCGGATGCACGCCAGCGTCTCCTTTGACGGCACCAGCGAAGAAAGCAGAGCCCGGCGCCAGGCCGGCTTTTGCATGAGGGCGCGTCTTTGGAAGAAGATCAAAGAGAATGAGAACCTCAGCAGCAGTGGGGCAACCGGCAATCGTCAAGGCGAAAGCTTCCGCAGGGTGCGGGATGTCGAGTGACTGGGCCGCGGGAGCTGCCACTGTTGCATCAAGACTTGGTACCGCACTGAAAATCAAGAAAGCCAAGTATTTGCAAAGCGCAGGCGGATATGCCGCTGAATGCGAAGAGCGCCAACCTTCCTCCCAGCCGATCAAGTGAGATGTGTGCGCATGCGGGCAGCGCTCCAAAGGACCTGCATATGTGCCATCTTCCTGAAGGGTGTGCCAGTGCACACCGAAGACCTGTGCCGCCGGCAAATTGCTCGCAAAGCGTGTCGGTTTAGCAGTCTCCGCTCCAAAGAAGCATTGATGCAAGGCACCGGAAGTCTGCACCAAGTCATGGACCTCAGGCCAGTCCCACACAGAACCAGGGATGTCGCCGGAGGCAACGCGTCCCAACTGTTCCGGATGCTCAAGTATGAAGAAGCGACCTGTGCCAACATAGCGTGAGCGACCTGAAGCGATTGCAAGAAGAAGAAGTTGCCTGTGTCCGCGAGCTCGCGGTCGCGATCACGAAGTCAAGGAAAACCCTTAGGCCTTAGGAAACTGTGAACTTCGAAGAGGTCGAGGCCCGAATCGGCCAGAGAAATTCCAGCGGGCCCGAGAAAAAGTGTTGCAAGGCGGACTCAAAACCACCACGTCAAAAGCTCCAGAATGACAATCCTTCAAGATAGAATCCCAGAGTTGCTGCGACGAGAGATCGTGACGAGGATCCCTGACGTAATCAAATTCTGTCATGTCCAATCCAACATGATGTTGCGTGCAAAGCTGCTCAAGTTGCCAACGAATATCGCCAGTCCTAGGCGCACCTGCAAAAAGATATAGCGCCCGAAGTGCCGAAGGTCAGTTGCCCGGAGGCTTGGAAGTTCCGGCCTTAGCCGACGTAATGCTGCCACATTGCGTGTGCCTGGCCACATCCACGGACACGACAGATGTGCACGCGGCCGCACGAAATATTGTATCCCTGGGCATTGTAAGGAAAGCAAATCTCACGACCATCCGCCGTGCGACTGATGAGCTGATTCTCCGAGTTCTTGCCCCCTTTCTGGTCTCCCTGCCAACCTTTGCCCTCCTTGCCTTTGTGCGCACCCTTGCGCCCTTTGTCGCCTTTCTTGCCCTTCCATGATGTGCGCTGCCAGGTATTGCGATCGACCCAGGTGTCCGGCATATCATTCCATCTGTTGGTCCAACCTCGCTTGTTGTCGTTGTGTCCCTGGAGACGCGGCTGCAATGCAATGGGGGACGTGAAGAACTGCTCCTTGAGCTGCGCATCTTTGGTGACCTCGATGATGGTGTCGGCCAATGGACGATTGCTTGCAACTGCACGCTTGATTGCTTCTTTGCGTAGCTCATGCTCAAACGTAATCATGACACTCCAAGGGGGACGCAAAGCGACATGTTCAGACTGCTGCCCTTTGCCCGACGGCGTCGGCACCTTCATCAAGTAGCATTTCTCACCTAGCAAGAAACCAACATAATCAGCCCAGCATCCCGGCTCCATTCCCCGCAAGAATTCCTTATTGCGGTACTTGGCGGCGAGCATGCACCACAGATTGGCCTCAACACGCAACACCGTCCGTAACTCCTCGGTTCCCTGCGGCAAGGCTCCCTTCTGACGGGACTTGATCACGCGAATCTGTCCCCCTGCATCCAACGAAGTTTGCAAACCCTGGGTTTCGGCAGTCTTTCGAGAGGTGACCTCAGAGAGAGGAGACGCCACAGGCTCATGCGTCTCAATCTCGTCCATCTTTGCCGCTAAGTAATCTTCGCTAGGCTCGAATTGCTCCTCAAGTTTTCCATGCGATGTCTCGAAAGCGAGTCTCATGGCTGCGCGGTCCGTCTGAGTCAGAGGCTTTGCAACCCCCAGAATCCGGGCCTCAGCCTTGAGTTCTGTCTCTTTGAGGTTCAGCTGCCCAGCTGCCTCCCAAGCACTAATCACGGAAGCAGTCGCAGCCCGCTTCTCCAGATCACTGGGCTCCAATCCGAAATCATCCTTGAGAGCCTTTCGAAGCCCCGCACGATCATCCTCATAAGCACTGAACCGCCGCACCGTCTGAAACTGCAAAGTCAGATTGTATTGCAAAGCCACTGGCACTCCGGCTTCTTGCAACACATGTGCAAGGTTCGAATCGACTCTAGTGGACAAGTGCTTCAATGCATCAGGCTCGGTGACGCCCGCAGGCAGGTTCATGGCGAACGTGACACTTTAACAGCTACCGTGCCCAAGAATAGCCCTGTTCTGGCCACTGCGAAGCCCACTTTCCGCAACACACGAACTCACAAAACTCACATGAAAAGCATTCGCGCCCACTGTTCTTGGGACTGGTGTTTGAACTTTGGGTTCGAAATACCAGTGTTTGAACTTTGGGTTCAAACACCGGTGTTCGAACCCTGCGAATACTACTAACACTTTTACTACTACTACTACTTACGACTAATACTACTAATACTACACTTCCCAATACTACACTTACTACTATCTAATACCACCACTACTAATAATACTACTAATACTACTAATACTACTAATACTACTAATACTACTAATACTACTAATACTACTACTACTACTACTACTACTACTACTACTACTACTACTACTACTACTACTACTACTACTACTACTACTACTACTACTACTAGTACTACTAATACTACTAATACTACTAATACTACTAATACTACTAGTACTACTAGTACTACTAGTACTACTAGTACAACAAATACTACTCACTAGGAATACCAAATTCTACCCTTTCTACTAAAACAGAAGAAGACGAGAAAGCCACACGAAAAAGTCTTTTGGGTGTTAAAAGCGAAAAAAGAAATCTCTCAAACCAGACCAAACCACGGTGTTTGGACCTTGGGTTGGAACACTGGTGTTCGAACTCAAGTTCAAACACCGGTTTTGAACTTTGGGTTCGAAGACTGATGTTTGGACTTCGAACTTGGAGTTTGAACATTTTGATCTGGGGTTTGACTCGAGTTCAATTCCAAGTTTTGGAATCTCCCAGAGCCAGAAAAAGGCTGGATATTGCTGACAGATCTTGTCGGAAGCTTCAAAGCCTCCAAACCCCACGAGGAAGACGGAAGGCTTCAGTTTCTGTCTTGGAACCTCCAGCAATGACAGTTTGAGAGCAGAAATTTCATCGTTGCGCGCAGATTCCAAGTGCTAGAAGGCTTGAAACAAACTACCACTGTTCAAGCGGACTGTAACTTTGGCGATTGGTCATTTATCGTTGGCAAAAACAACACAGAATTAACAAACATATTTCAAAGTGGACTGCATATGCAGCACGGTTCTTTGCGATTTATCGAATCCAGGTTGAATTGAAGTTGCAAACAGAAGGGATTCTAACTTGGAGTTTGAGATTGTATCTTGAACCCTTTCAGAGGGTCTTTCTTCCGGCGGAGGCTTTGTATATTTCCCTCCAAAACACCATTCTGCTTTCTTATGCCTTCTTTCCGAGGGAACTCTCTGGTTTAGTCAAAGTGTGGCACTGAAAAGCGCAAGGTCCCTCCAGTTCGAAGTGACCTTCAAGCGCCCCTTCAAGGCTTTTTCAAACCCATGAGCTCCCCTCTGGGGACGTGTAAATGAAGTGGAAACAAGACCCTGGAAAAGCAAGAAAAAACGCCATCTGCTTCCTCCAAGCCGTTTTCTGCTGCGTTGTCCCAGCAACCCGCCGCCAAATGATCAGCTTCAAAGTGGCCAGGTGGACCCAGGTCTGAGGCTTGAATGGAGGCTTGAAGAGGAGCTCAAGGGGAACTGGAAGAGAAAGCTGAAAGAGAGCTTGAGCGAGCTTCAAAGGGGACTTGAAGAACTTGTTTGGCCATGTCAGTTTCGGCAGAAAACCACCAAAAGATTTTTTTGCTTTTGTCATTTTGTTTTCTTCACAAAAAACTCATAAAGCGATTTCGCGAGCTTCTTCTTCTTTTGTGTTTGTGAGTGCGTTTTGTTTGATTCTGGTGCTTTGTTCATTAAACAGCGATTTCGTGCGCAAAACCCCCATAAAGCGTTTCGTGCTGCTTTTTCTTTTTTTGTGTTTGTGCTTGCGTTTTCAATCAACTTTCATTTTCCTCGCCAAAACCACCAAAAGCGATTTCGTGTGGCTTCTTCTCCTTTTTGTGTGTGATTGCGGTTTGTTCCCTTAAGTCTTCTTTTATCATTTATTTTCTTCGCAAAAACCACCCTAAAGCGATTTCGTGTGGCTTCTGATTCTGTTGTGTCCATGATTGCGTTTTGTTTGAGTTTCTCTTCTTTTTCATTTTAGTCTTTCCCCCCAATGTCCTTTCTCTTCAAGCCTTCGTTCTTCAAGCCCCCTTTACGTCTTTCTTTGAAGCTCCCCCTTCAAGCCACCCTTCGCAACTTGAAGGAAGCTTCGAGAGGGCTCAAATGAAAAATTCCAATGGCGTTTTGAGAATCCCAGGAGTGTGCAATAACCAAGCAACAACAATCAAAAGGACATCTCAGTCTGCTCTAGAATGCAATCACTCGCTACTTGTCTGGATGCAATGAGCCAGTCTTGAGCCAATGCCAATTCGTAGTAGGCATTGTGAACGTGGGTTCAATGTGAGCTGGAGAATGACCATGCAATCTGACATGGTTGCGACGTAGTACGTCGGCAATCACAGCTGTGCAATCTTCGCTAATCAGTTTAAGGGCTTCAAACGCAATCCACGAAACTAGTCTGGCAATCTCACTCTTTTGCATTCAGAACTGGGCAATGTCATGCGGTCAACCAATCTTCAACCATGTGCAATCGTCATCCAGGAAACAATCTCCGTCGGTTCATCGCAATCATAGAGACGAATGGAGTCGGCAATCAATCGGCAGTCTGCAGCAATTATCTAGTGCTCAATCCGAGCATCATGTTGCCAATCGCTGTTGCAATTCCTGAGCAGAAAATCAAGATCAATACTGTGAGTCAGCCAAATGCTGACAAGCTCTCAATCAAGGAGGCAGCAGTTCCTCACTCCTCAATCATGAGAGCAATCCATCTGCGTCTGGGCCAATCATGCCAATCACTGTTGGCCTTTGCGTTTCTTCGCAATAGCGGCAGCCGTTGCCAGCATGACCTGCTGGGTCAATGAACTTGCAGACGAGCTTGAATCGCCCAGTAGGTCAGCCTCAGCAATGTCATCTGCTGGAACTTCTTCACAATTCTCGGTCAATGGACCCAGCTCCGAAATGCCCTCAATCTGCATACTGCTCAATGGGAACGAGCAACGCCTGTGCAATGCCTCTGTTGGCATCCAATTGCTGTACGAGGAATTGTGGATCGATGCGCATGCCTTCTCAACGGTCAATGATGTGAGCTCCAATATCACGCAATGGTGTCGGCAGACGCCGGGGAGACAATACTTGTACTCACCGCCAATCTCGTATGACGAGTCAATCGTCATACACCAGCTGCAGCCCAAAAAGCTGCAACTGTGAAATCTCTTGAAGCCACCAATGCCGGTTTGGCTTTTCAATCGCGTATCCGCCATTTCGCGGGTTGGCTTGAATACCAATATCTTGACAAGTTCGCCAATCTGCTCCCGCGAAAATCTTGATTGTCGGTACCAATGAGCGAATTTGCGGAGACTCGCTTCAATGGTAAACTGCGGGTTCAACTGTCCAAGCGGCGTAGGAATGGTCGCCGTTTGGCCACTCGCCAATTGCTCCACCAATGAAGATGGCAGGGCAAGGCACACGTGCCAATCCACCAATTCATCCACTTGCTTGTATTGGCGAGCTCTGTACAATGTAATCGCGACCGATTTCGCGAAAATTTGCTTCAATGCCCAATGGCACTCCATCACACGATCCAGAATCATGAATGAAAGGTCCAATGTAAACGTTGGAATCTCATCATCAGATCCAATGGTCATCTTCGCAATACAGCTGTTGCAGACATGAATCAATGTGAGAAATATCATGTTCGCGAACCCGCAATGGGATGAATACCCATCGGGCACCATCACACGTGCCCAACGGCTGTTCACCAACCATCAGCCTTGAGACCGGGGGGGAGGGGGGGCTGCAGCGACCGCATGCGGGAGCCAAAACTTAAAACGGCTAAGCGGCTAAGCTTTTGAGAATTTCAATATTTAAGTTCTTTTCCGAAGTATTCGAGTGCTTTGCATTTACAGCCACATGTCTTGCATTGCTTGGACAGTCGAATGAAGGAGCTCCCGGGCAGAGTTCATGCTCGAGAAAATTTTGGTGGATTGGGGCTAGGGGACCTTCGGCGCCATGGGCAGCTGAGTCCGAGGCGGCTCCGTCCACGCCCGCTCGGCAGCTGCGGTGTGTCATTCTGCAATGCCCGTGGAGAGCAGAGAGTGGACGGCACTTGCGGAGCTTGATCCATTGCTGGCTGAAAGGGTGGCACGCTACTTTAAGACCTTGGGCGATTTTCTTCTGTCGATTGCTGATGAGGGCGATGTCATTCAGCTGGTCAGGGGTTGCCTTGATGATGTCAGAAGTTTGGATGCCTGTACCGAGCTTGCAGAAAGGCTGTGGCAATTCACAAGAAAGCAAAACGGACTTTCGGATCGTGTGGTGCGTGGGGTCGTCAGGGCTGCAATTTGCGGGCCATACAGACCTCCAGCTGAGAAGCAGGATCCGGGAGAAGTATACAGTGAGCTGGTCAGTGCCAGTCCCCTGCTAGGACTCGCAGTGCTTGAAAAGGCGATCAAGGCAAAGAAAGCTGCTTCAGGACGGGCCGAGCATGAGGAGGTCAAGAAGAAGAAGTGGGCACTTCAGCTAGCAAAGTACATCGAGGAGGCGGAGCTGCCTGCTGTGGAGCGGGTGCAAGCGATGAGTGATCCCAACTCAGTTGCGGGCCTTTGGTGGGCGTCGTGGAAATACGCTCAAAAACGCCGGTGCGTGAGTGGATGTTGGCGACTCATGGGCAAGCGTGGCCACCAAATGTTGGGGCTATTGTACAGTACCTCGAGGAGAGACACCAGGGGGCAAGCCCTTGGGAAAGACGGTTCCAAACTCTATCATGGCGAGCATTTTCTTGATGGAGCAGGTGGGACAGGTGCCTTTGGAGTCCCGTTTGTCGAAGGATTCGATACTTGAGGGCGTCATAAAGTCGTGGACGCAGCAACTTGAAGGAGAATCGGAGCCTGTGAAGCAGGCCCCGTTGTATACGGTGGCCATCTTGGTGTCAGCCGAGTTGACATTGATGAGACTTTCAGTCCCGGCAGGCTTGAGATTTGCGTGCTTCATGTTGCTGATCATGGTCTGGGGCTGCCTCCGCTGTGATGATCTGCAGGGAATCAGCCCGGAGTCAATCACCCTTTCCCAGCTTGTCCTCAAGTTCACGCTGTCAAGGACGAAGACGTCAGGTCCCGGTAAGCGTGTTGGGCAGCTGCAAGGTTTCATCTTGAGATCAGTAAGTTTGTCGGGCTTTGATTGGATCGCCGCTGGTGTCAAGTTGCTGCAGACTGAAGAGTTCAGGGTTCCTCGCGACTTCCTGTTCCTTCGATTCACCGATGGTTGGGAGGTTCAGTCTAGGGAATTCATGGATGGCGAAGGGGTTGCTTGTCATATCAGGCGCGCATTGGCCGAGTTGCGGGTCCCACGCCTGCATGAAGGTATCTGGGGACTTTCAAAAACGGTGCGATTGGTGCCTGAAGCACTGTTGGGTTTCTGGAGCGGACATTCAGCACGGCATTTCCTTCTGTCAGTGGCAGCCGCCACGGGCGTGGATTCTGATAAGAGGGATTTTCTTGGAAGGTGGGCAGTTGCAAGGTCGGCAGGTCAGGCTTATGTCTTGACTGCACGCCAGATCATACATGCCATCCAGGCGCACGTGTGCACGTCATTGCTGGAGGGCCGTCCGGCCCCAGGTTACATCGAGGAAGAGTTATTGGTCCAGGCGCAGGCGTGGGCAACAGCACATGGTTATGCAGGCACGCCGGTTGCTAACCTTCACACGCCCTTAATTTGAAGTTCCGGGAATCGCTGGAGCTTGCAGGGTTGCAGGGAAAGTACCCAGCCATCGCGGTAGATCCCACTCACTTGGCACGGGCGACCGCCCCGGGCAATGCATCGCTGAGGCCTGCCGAGGAGGAGCCAGAAGCACCCTACTTCGTGACTGTAGGGCGTTCCGGCTTTAGGCGGTTGCACTTGACTCATGCGTGTGCAGTGCGGCAGGAGCGCTGTGTTGAGACGATTCCGTTGTTTTCGGTGGCAGAAGACTCTGCTGATGCCATTTGCAAGTTGTGTGCACCGAAGATGAAGCAGGGCGAGGTAAGTAGTGATTCCGCAAGCTCTGACGCTGAAGGTGCGTCAGAACCGGCGCAGCCGGAGACGTGATTGCTAGCCGTGGCCTCAGAAAACAAATGCGCAGAGTGCATCTCGTCAGTCCAGGTGAGTGTTTGCAGTTTCGTAGGTTCGACAAGTGCATGGCATGTCCGATTCGTGTTGAGTTGAGCTTCGCAGTTTCTTTTTAGACGAAGCGTCGGCAATGGCTGCTGCGAGATCCCGTGAGATCAGGTCCAGCGGCTGGCAGGTGGCCGCAGTAGCAGGCAGGTCAACGTCAACAGCACGTGGTAGACATTGCTCGAAGACTCCTCAAAGATGTTGAAACTGTTGCGCCAATCGAGTTGGGACCCCAGCTCACCATTCAAGCGACCAAGAAAGCGAGCAACCCGACCAGCCACGTGATGCTACGCAGAAGACTGTGCAACTGTAGGTTTAGTGGGCACAGCTTCCCAGTTGCTTGTTGGCTTGAGGCCTTGCTCCAAACTGTTCAGCGCAGCCAAACACATGTTGGCAACTTGCAGGCAACAAGCGGCGTCCACGGTGTCACTATCCACTTCGCTCGGCCAGCTCTCAAGTCTGGGCAGTGGGAAGAGGTCTCTGCAGCGGCAGCTCGGGGAAGTAGCCTTGTGCGCCAGCCAGCTTCGCCAACAAGAGGCCACACCGAGGCTGGAGGTCGTCATGTACTCTGTCAGGACAGTAGAAAACCTCTCAGCAGCGGATACTTTCGGCTCTTGTTTTGGCGCTGTTACGGTACAAGCGCCCTGTCGAAGCCCACATGAGCTCAAGGCTTTCGCCACCGCAATTTGCAGCAAGTGCCGCAGCATGCGCCGTTTGTTGCGCTGCTGTCTGGCTCTTGAGCTGGTTCGTTCTGCTATCAACTTGGTACCAGCACTGGCTGCAGTCATATCCAATCCCGTAGGCGGCAGACCACAACCAGATTAGCACTCAAACACCCATCACAGGCGGGACACACGGCATGGCGCTTTTCGCACCTACACCCCTGTGAAAGGCTACATTGCAAAAGCTTGGTCAACATGACGGCATTGGACGGATGCACAGCTGCGCGTCTTCATGTCCTGTGCGCCTTCAACCTAAGTCTGTTACCGGCGCTTGGAACGTTCGCTGCAGCAATATCCCCTCATTCATTAAACTTTTTTTACACACATGTATACCAAGGTATGAGTACACAATCGACATTCTTTCTTTCTCGTTCGCAAGCTGTTATATCGTTGCCACGGAAGCTCAAACAGTCTTTCTTGGTTCTCTCGTTTCGTATCTCTGAAGGGTCCCCCGTTCTGTACTAATACTACTATTAATACTACTAATACTAATAATACTACTAGTACTACTAATACTACTAACACTACGAATACTACTAATACAACTAATACTACTAAAAAGAAGAAGAAGCCACACGAAAACGCTTTTGGGGTGCTAAAAGCGAAGAGGAGAAAAGAAATCTCACAACCATACCAAACCACGGTTTTTGAACCCGGTTCGAACACTGGTGTTTGAACTCAGATTCGAACACCGGTATTTGAACTCTGGGTTCGAACACTGGTGTTCGAACTCAGGTTCGAACACCGGTGTTCGAACTCAGAGTTCGAACACTGGGTTCTTCCACAGGTTTTCCCGGATGCTCCTGAGGGCCGAGACCCGAGGGCTCCCTTCTTGAGGCGAGTACATCCAGCTCACTGTGCGAGAGCTCAACTGTGGTAAGCTGCGTCTCCGTCCGGAGGTGGAGGCCGTTGCGGGCATCTTCGCGGCTGGAAAGTCAAACGGCCGTCAGCGGAAGATTTGGAACGGAGCTTCTGTCTCACAGTTGGCGCAAGCACCGCCCAAGCCGAGGCGGCTGGCAAACCCTTCCTGTTTCCTTGACGTGAACGCTTCAGGGGACAGCCTCTATTTCTCCAAACGAGATGCTGCCACTTTCTTCGATGCGCTAAAGGTGCCTAAGGCGTTGCAGAGATGGTTTGGGCAACCTGCTGTGCAAGTGCGAGAGCTGGTAGAGGCCGGCATGAGCTTGGAGTGCATCCTTTCGCTTTGCGACGACTTGCCCTCCAGAGATGTCAAAGCTGATACGTGGTTGTATCCAGCAAGCGTGGTTTGGCCCATGGGATTTTCATGGTCGTCAGCTGTAGCGCAGGACACCGCTCTGGCAGTGTGTGCACGAGCGGGCATTCGGGAAGAGTCCATTCTCAGCCCAGACCACACCGCGCCGGAGAGGCAGCAGGAGCTAGTTTTCGTTGCCACGGATGACACAGTCCTGGTGCATCGCGATGCCACTTTGGGAATGCAAAGGCTAGCGGCTAAGCAGCCTTGACGCGGCCGTCTGCCGCACCTTAGATCTTTTACACAATCCTAAGGCCAGTCCTAGGGGGGTTCTTAGGTTGCTTGGTGTTTGGGAGTGGTTTGTGCTTTTGCAACGAAGTATGTTCAGCATCTACGACGTTGTCTACAGCTTCAGCCGCCGGACCCCTGAGCACCAAACTACGGCAGTGCCCGACAAGGTCCTCAACGAGTTCTTGACGACCCTTCTGCTCGCACCACTGCTTACAGCTGGCCTGGATCGCCAACCTCTGAGCACGCTTGTTGCCACGGATGCCTGTCCCGAATATGGGTTTGGCGTCTGTGCAGCAGAGTGCTCACAGCTGAATGCTTTTCAGGAGTGCAACATGGCAGAACGCAGGGGTGATTTCGTGCGCCTCACTACCTCAGCAAGTGACCCAGTTGAAGTTGCCAGGCTGGGGAAGCCAACACGCCTCCCTCTCAAGCAACAGGACTTCAAGACAGTGGTCTCTTGTCGTGCGAGATGGCCAGGACACTCCGGAGTATTGGAGATGCACGGCTACATGCTTGGCCTGAAGTGGGCAGCAAGACATCCGCGACGACACCATCGAAAGATCCCTTTTCTGGTGGATGCAAAAGCTGTGGTGGGTGCGGCCACGAAGGGCCGCAGTTCTGTACGCGCTTTCCTCAAGATCCTGCGAAGCACAGCTGCTTACACACTCGCTGCTGACGTCCTTCCGAGAATCGTGTATATTCCTTCCGAGTCAAACCCCGCAGACGCTCCATCGCGGGGACGGAAACTCAGAAGAGGACGACACGTTCTGCACAGATGCAAGAATTTGTGAATTCATGGCGCCGCTGTCGCCCTACCCGTAGCAGCCGGGCATGTAACCGTGCCTGCTTCTGGATTTTCTGGCCAGGCAGGCCTTCGGGCAGCTGCAGGAGAGGCTGTTTGCTGCTGCTGCGGGGGTGGGCTTCCACGATCTGCTCCAGTCGTGGCTTTTGCGGCCCAGCCAGCGAACGGTTCTGAGGCCTCGGCTGTGGCCTATGTTGTTCTCTGGAGTTCTGGGCTCTGCATGTCACTTTTCCGATCTTTTTCTGCGGCGACGCTTCGCTTACACCAGTGCGGGGTATTTGTGCTTTTCAAAGACATCAGCTTGCTTGGCAAGCTCGCCTTGGAAGTTTTTGTTCTCCTTGGATCGCTCGCTCTACCCTGCAGTGGCGTCATTCCAAAACGGGCAGTGCTGTGAGAAAAGCGGAAGCAAGTCTGAATGAGTGGCAGCCTCAGCAATGAGGGGATATTGCTGCAGCGAACGTTCCAAGCGCCGGTAACAGACTTAGGTTGAAGGCGCACAGGACATGAAGACGCGCAGCTGTGCATCCGTCCAATGCCGTCATGTTGACCAAGCTTTTGCAATGTAGCCTTTCACAGGGGTGTAGGTGCGAAAAGCGCCCCTCCCAACCCGCCCGGGCTTTTCAAAGACATCAGCTTGCTTGGCAAGCTCGCCTTGGAAGTTTTTGTTCTCCTTGGATCGCTCGCTCTTTGGTATACATGTGTGTAAAAAAAGTTTAATGAATGCTCGTTTAAGTATGTGTGCGTGTGCCTGTATCCTATTCTCGCAGGTGGTTCATTAGGTGGCTCGACAATGCGATACTTAGATTTTGTGGAAAAAGGTGCACTCCCACAGCCCCCCGGACTCTATTAGTACTATTAGTAGTATTAGATAGTAGTAAGTGTAATATTAGGAAGTGTAGTATGAGCAGTAGTAGTCGTAAGTAATAGTAGTAATAGTATTAGTAGTACTAGCAGGGTTTGAACACCGGTGTTTGACCCTGGGTTCGAACACTGGTGTTTGAACCCTGGGTTCAAACATCAAGCACCGGTGTTTGAACTCTGAGTTCAACCTCCGTTCCAAATATTTGAACTCAGGGTTCAACTCGAGTTCCAATGTCATGTTCCGAGCCCCCGCCCCCGGACCCCCCCCCAGGTGTTCGAACCCAGGGTTCGAACACCCTGCAAAAATCTATGCTCGCTCGGTCTGTTCCAGTCCCCTCCGACAACGGGCAGCCCTCGTATCTAGTTCTTTTTAGCGAAGTCGTGACCAAAGTCCAGAAGTCCAAAGTCCATCGGCAGTGGTGGCAAGGGCAGGGATGGACACATGGCCAGGTAGGTAGACATCGGTATGATGCCCTCTTCCGAGCACAGGCCTGCTCGCGTGCCCCGTGTCTGGGCGCAGCAAGCGCCTTGGACGAGCGTGGACCTTCGGCATCAGCGTGGTGTGTTAAAGATCTCCGAAACTCAAAATTTAAAACAGGGGAATGCGCGTCAGAGGTTGGCTTGCTGCGTGGGGCTTGCGCGTTAGTTCTGGCTGAACACCACCTGCAAACCTCTTGCTGCACACGCCAGCCTTCTCCACGCCATCAGACCATACCATTGGGAGAGAGTGGGAACGACAGACGCCTGACCATATCTTGGCCCTTGGGGTGTCTCTGGATTGGAAACTCAGATTCATCAGAAGGCTTTAATCGTTTGTTGTTCAATGTGTTCGCAAAAATTCATGGGCATAGTGGGAACTATGCGATGTTGGAGCAGGAGCGAAGTCTGCTAACTTTTCTCCTTGGTCCATAAAATCTTTTATCTCTTTGCATTTCTCGGGTCGATTCCAATAGATATCCGGATTGTGTCCTTCCCAGCCCAGAAAGCTGGTTCTTCTTCTGAAACTCTTTGGCATGGTAGAAACACCATTAGCGAAAACGTTTTTCTTCGGCATCAACTCGGTCGACTCCATTGCCTGGAGCTCTCTTACCTCCACATCTTGCTGCATGACTCTGCACGGTGTCCTTGCTCTTTGCACCAAAAACAGCATCGGTCGGAATCCACTTTTCATTCCCACCTTCCAAACTTTTCCATCATCTCTTTCCTTTTTCCTTCTTGGGTCTCCCTCAAGCTCTGAGGGTCTTTGCTTTCCAGCTTATCGACTTTCTCTCCTTGCTCTTGCTTGCTAATCTCTTCTCTTGCCTCTTCAAGCTTTCTTTTCAACTCTTCCTTGTTTTGCTTGATCCTTATGCCTTCCGGCATCTGCTTCGGCGGCTTTGCGGTCTTAACCCTTGTGATCTGAACATCATCATCATCATCATCACCATCCTGCTTCTCTTGCGGAACACGCGTTCCAGCCGCACTTGAGCTTGCCGCATCTTCACGCTTCCTCTTAACCCTCATCATAATCTCTGACAAAGTTTTCCTTTTCTTCCAAACTTCTTCATCAGGTCGCTTGTAAAGTCTCTCGAGACTTGGGAAAATTTTCGTCAGCTCTTGCATATCTTCATTCATGAACTTCTCCAGATATACGTTTGAGCTTTGGACTTGGTCCACATTTGCTTGTCCACTTTCGTAATTATCGCGCACTTCTTGAATCAGCTTTTTCCTTTTTTCGAGCTTTGTTTCACACTCCTTCTTCAACTCCTTTTCATACTCTTCATACTCTTCTTCCATCTTCTTCATCTGCTTCTCCACGTTGATCTCATCGTCACAAAGTACATTCAGGCTTTCAGTGTGTCAATAACATGAGCTTCCAGTTTTGCCTTGATCTCTTGAAGTTTCAAAACATACCCATGGGGCAAAGCATTTGTCGGTCTCAGCGTCGTTTCTTTCAACATACCGAACTCTCGTCCCAACGCTTCATTTGGTAAACCATTCTCTATGGCCTTTGGATCTTCCTTGTGGATTATCGTTGACCAGATATTGTCACTTTCCAAATCGAACGCTTCCTTCAGCTGGTCCAACTCCTCTGCTGTCTTTTTAAACCTGCTCCTCTTTGTTGGCCTTCTCTGCTTGTTCTTTGTCTTCTTCTGCTTTCTCGGCCTTCGCTGCTTGTTCTTTGTTTTCTTCCGCTTCCTCAGCTTTCTCCGCTTCTTCATTGGCCTTCCTGACGATTTCCGATCGTCTTTTCGCTGCTTCTTCTCTTTTCTGCTTAAGCTCTTCACTTCTTTGACCCATAACCGCATCTTGTGTCTCCTTCTCTAACTCATCTGCGGTCTTCTTGAACTCGCGTGGGATAACTGCTTCATCCCGTGCTTCACCGTATTTTTCTCTCTTCTCCTTTTCTTCTTCTTTGTCCTTGCTTGAATCATCGCTACAATCTTTTCTTCTTTCTTCTTTTCCTTTCATCGTCTCCTTCTTTGCTGCTTGACCCGTCGCTGCTTTCAGGGTCACTTCCCATTTTTCGTGACGGGCTTTTATGTTTTCCAAGCCTCGTCTCCTTTGGATCAAGCGCGCGGTCTGAAAGAAAACATTTCGGGGTCAAAAAAAGAGCAGCCCGTTAGGATTTTGTAGCAGCCATGCGCTCGCTTTCCGTCCACTTTCCCTTGAGTTTCAAGCCCATGAGCCTTGACTTTCGAAAGGAAGACCACGAAATTCCTGCCCGAAGCTTCAAAAGCCACGACAAGCGCGGACAGTGAAGAAACTAGATTGAAGTCAGATTTGGAGCCTGAGTTTGGACTACCGCACCACACAGATGTCGTGAGACTGATTGCCATAAACATGTTCAACTTCAATATCACTACTCCAAGTTGCTCATAGACTCATAGATTTTTCGCATAAGCTTTATCAATGCTTCGAGATTCGTGGTACTTCATCAAAAGTTCCACTGTCAGCATTGATTTTGAAACGATGACATTTTGAGGCCAAAGGCATCTGTCAAGAGTTCACTGTGAGCAAGTCGTGCTTTCGCGTGCAGTGTCTCCAGAACTTCAAATGCGTTGATGCTTGATACATCATCCGCTGCATGTTCGGCTGTTGGAGATAGTTGCAAGATGGTACCCCATCACAGCAGCTCTCACTGAATTTCGTTTTTGTCGTCGGCGACGGCGACGGCGGTTTACGATCGAACAGAACCAGAGTTGCAAAGACATACACAATGACATAATGTCATTTGGTTATTTAGGCACGATTCGTCATTGCGAAATGGTGTTTGCATAGTTCCGAAATGGTGGGCGTTCGTCAATGTGGCTTGTTTGGCGATGTCGTTGTGACATGATCTTCGCGGGTGCGCTGTTCGGAGTCTTTCGGAAATGAAATTCCGAAACATGCTGCTGCATCGCTTCAGGTTATTTGTCTTTGAATATGACAACAGGGTTCTTGATGAAATCGTGCCTTGCATGTGGCTCGACTTGCCAGGTTTTGTGGCCGAACTCCCTGGCGTCCGTGGCTTTCAGAGCATGCTTTCATGGTATCAACAGGATGCAGTGGATCAGGATGCAGCTGTTCGTGTGATCTGCAGAGTGTTTTTGTGCAGGGTGGCCGAATATTCATGTCATACAATTCTTCTTCTGTCAACGTTGGTGATGACATGTGGCATGCAGCATGCACTGTCCAATCAGTATGTGGTCGTGAAAGTACCAGGTTGTTATTCGAAGGCAGCCAACAACGAACAGCGACAAGGCCACGGATCCTGATTGTCCGTCATGCCAGTGTTGGGCTGGTGCTGTGGATGTGATTGGTTTGTAGCAGATCAAGGCATGATCGCACTTCTGCCGGAGCAGGTGTCTTTCCTGGAAAAGGGAGATCAGATCACTGCCATAGAGGCCTGATTCGCGACCGTGTCCTTCGCTGTCTGTTTGCCGGAGCCTCCATAGCTTCCTTATGGGCGCTTGAAATTTCCGGACAGGATCGGTTCATGATTCGTATGGCTCATGCACGCCTTCGGCAGACAGAAGACGCTTTGATTGCCGAATTCAGCTTGGCATGTTCTGGGGTCTGGACAGTTTTCGAGTATCATATCACGCGTACAAGATTACGGCAAAACAAGCTGGGAAATCAAGAGTCTTGCGCTCGTAGATCGTAGGCATGCGCGATAGATGGGTGCCATGCCATGAAGCCGTCTGAAGTGCTCTCGGCGTCAAACTTGCAGAAGGCACGGACTCAGGACCTCTGGTTTCAGGATACCACGGCTGTGAGATTTGGGCGGGCATGGATCACTTTGCTTTAGAGAAGTAGGTCTCCTGGAACTTGTCAGACTTGTGCGGATCTCTGTGACGTTTTGCTTGAAGAACCGTTCGAGGATCTTGGCCATGGTGCACCGATTCGAAGCGTAGTGCTTCCGGCGGCATGCAGATCCCCACAGGCCTGCAGGCATGATTATCAGCTACAAGCTTAGCTGATCGCATTAAGTTGGGCGCTACCATCAGGAGTTGCTGGTCAATCCACATCCAGGTTGGAAGGGACACCTTCAACTCTCACTTGCTTAGTTGATCGTGAACCAGGCGTGGCGACGGAGCCATTGCGGGATGTCCTCACCTTTCAGCCTCAAATCCGCAAGCCACGGAAGTCACAGGCAACTCGGATCATGGTGTCAACACATTGGTAGTGTTCCTCACTCATTTGGGCTTTGCAACTGTTTTGCTGAGTCATGGTTCTGGTCGTGTCAAGGTGCCGCCTCCAGAGCATCTTCGTGATCGTGTTTTGCAGACACGGCTTCTGGATGAGTCCTTGAAGGACAGTCTCTGCCGCTACATCGCCGACCGGCGATGTCGGTCTAGTTCAGTGCAAGTGCAGGCTGACTGCTTGGAGCGACTGGCCGGTGCTGCCCAGCGGGCGCCCATGGTCAGTTCCCACAGAATGGAGAGGATACGATGTTTTTTCAACTAATCAGTGGCTAAAACTTGTTGAGGTTCGGAGAGCATCATGGTCAGATGTAGCACCACCTCCACCGCCAGAGAGCGATGACGAGGCAGTGGATGGATCCCAGTTTTGCATTGCGCCACACGGGCCCCCGTATCCAGGTCATAGAGTTCACCAAGGAGGATCTCTTCAAGGAGGACGCTCCGATGGAGGAGCAACCTCAAAAGTCTCCGGAAGCCGGAGAGGCCAGGGTCACGCAGTATAGTGCTTGTGCGCAAGATCTAGGCTGCCTCAGACGCTTCCGTGCAAGCTTGGAAGCGGCAGGACGTGTGTTCTCCCGAGCCACCATCGAACGAGGCCTCCAGTTTCGATCGACTGCAAGCCTTCTCGGTTGTTTGGAAATCTGTGGAATTGTCAGACTCTCGATGCGGATATCCGCAGTGTGCTGACGCCCTCGGAGCGTTCGGCACCTTCTGAGCGACGCGAGGCCGTGAGGTTCCTGAAAGATGTGGGCTTGAATTTCAATGCAGTGAGCGGTTCAGGTCCACACGAGTGTCGCAGCTATGAATCTGACGGATCTTCTGGCCGAGAATGAGAAACTCAGAGTGGCTGCATCTCATTGCAATGAGTGCTTCTTGCCAGAGCGCTTTTTTCAACAGCTTTGCACAAGGCAGGGCTGAGCGAAAATGAGAACTTCTCCTGGCGTCCCGGTGCGACTATTCCTGCGCACACTGGCACCTTGCCCTTCCTGGTTCCCATAAGTTCCCATTGGTTCCCGTGTCCATTATCCCTCCGCCTCTCACTGCTTTCTGTTTGGCTTTTCAAGGGCTGCCAGTGGAGCCCCGCCAGACTCGTGGCTCTGTGTGCCGCAAGCGGGGCAACGTGGCCCCCAAGCTGAAGTTTAGCTAAGGTCAATGTTCACATCACCCTTACGCAGCTCATGCACAGACATCATGACCACACCGAGGCAACAGACTTCTACGGTGACTGGAGCACAGGTTCTGCGGGCTTACCGCACTGGCACTACAAGAGCTCTAGCACCCCCACTGCACACCAAGTTGAGTGTTGAACTGCAGTGTTCTCCGATTCGAGGTCCGTTTCGCAGAAGATCGAAGACCTTGCCCAAAATGCCTCGCTCGCTAGATTAGTGTCTCTGATGTCAGACCGTGTAGAGGGGTTGCGGTACCAGGAGCTTGCAGACGAGTCCTTCAGCCGTGGAGGTTCTACCACCACTCAGCGAGGCTCATATACCAAGACAGGAGGCCACGTTTCCTTTTTTGGGGCGTCTTTCGCTCTTGGCAGGCACTGCCAATCTCTACACATCTCGCAGATGCCCGGCAGGCAGCAGCGACCCCCTTATTGCACTAATGGCATCGTGCGTGGTAGCCAGGCCATCTGCGCTGCACGGGGCACGAGCAGGTCTCTGCCTTGGACGGGTAGCTCTCATCGCCTGCAGAGTGTTAGATGCTCCGTGGTAGCGCTATGGTCTACGATCCGTGGTGGCCTTTTTTGACTCAACCAGCTGCGATTATGCGGCTGTGCCTGCACCATACTTGCAGGCTGACAGGATTGTAATGGCGTGATGATTAGGGGTGAGGGGCCAACAAGAGCTCCTCACATCCGCAATGTGCATAATATGTTTGCAGTCCTTTGAGTAGCCGCGTCGCCCAGGCTGGGGGTGCAGCGAGGCTGCGACTCGCTTCTTCGCTTGTCGCTTCGTGCAGACCTTGAAAATCGCAATACATGTAGCTTCCATCAGAGCAGGGATGCAAAGTGGAGCTGAGGCTTCGTGACTCAGGCAACGTGAAACTGTGCGTTTGACATGTCTCTCCAAAGGAGAGCTGAGTGACGAGTGGAGGAAGTGCTCAAAACAGAGCGGTGCGGCGGTGCGGATCCGGGCGGCGAAGGCGGAGCTTTTGCCCGAAGCCTCGGTGCCAGGTCTTCACAGAGCAGGGCATCGAATGGGCGAAGCTGGCCAAAGGCTCTGTGCGACATACGTCTCGCTATGTCTTGCTTCTTCTTGTGAGATTTTTGGGCGAAGAGACGCTGCCGCTTCAGATGATGTGCGACAACGTAGCTGGGAGGTGCATGTGCCATACGCAGCCACATGCAACAGGAGGCGGGCAGGGATCGCCCGGACATGGGGCATGTAGCACGGAACCGCGGAACATGTTCCAAACACAGGTGCCGCTGGACCTGGCAGAAGATGGCTTCGTGGCGACAGTCGGGGCCTCGTTTGGGCTCCGGGTGTCTCCGGGTGCGTTCGGAAACTGTGGACCGCACGCCGTGCGTCTCTGCTCGCGCTCCAAACCGAATCACAGTCTGCTCTTCTGCTATTCTTGCGCAAGGCCCTGGCGCCCTTCGGCACTCAGCTGCGCAAGCAAACCGCGATGCCTGCATCTTGTCGCAGTCTCTCAAGAGCAAAGGTCGGTAGTTTGGCTGCCAGGATGCCATTCAGGATGGGGAGGCCAACGAGGCAGTGCTTTCTAAGAAGGTCATCAACGAAGCTTGGGGCTGAGTACAGATGCCTCCTATACCTGCTTTGGCACATCTTGGTTTGTCAACTGATATATGACCAGGTCCTGTCCATGAGCTCCGATCCAGGCCACATGTTGCACTTCCGAAGCCTTTGTACAGCACAAGAGGGCCGCGGTACTCGAGCTTGGAAGAGGTTAGGATGACGTGCTTGAGTGCCGCAGTTCATCTTACCTGGATCAAGAAGCATGGGTGTTCATTGTGTTTCTTGTAGTCGTCAATGCCAATGCATGAGGTATGTGATGTGTTATCCCATGTCTGATGCTGACAGATGTTACAGATTTGAAGGAGACTCGTCGTATCATATTCGCTAGGCACCATCCATAGAACGCAATCTTCCGTTTTAATATCCCCGATTGTGCCTCTCTCTTGCAGGTGCATGGCTCAGAGTGTCTTCAGTGTCATTGCTTTGGGTGTTTTACACGAATCCCGAGTAGGACAATGTGACGCACGAGCTCGGATCGGCCGACTTGTAACGCTGCATGTGTCAGACAGGCTAACTGTAATGTCCGGCTTTTGTCGAGGTTTATGCGGCTAGGCACATAGATTCTGGAGGGCTTGGAGCTTCTTACGCCATGTTCTTCCGTCGTTCGCCCGGGTAGAATCCTTTGCCTCCGAGTCTGCCACTTGCATGGGCAGTACTAAGGTTGAGCACGACCTTCCTGTGTCTTCACCAGAGATGGTGCGATGGGCTGTGACGGGGTGATGGGGCCTGGCTGGAAGTTTTTCTGCTCGTGACCCGAATCAGGCTCCCATGGAGTCGCTTGATGTGGCTTCGAAGAAAGAGCTGCTGAAACCCGGCCGCAAGGCCAGTACGCACGTGTGCGCGAAGATGACTCCTGCAAGATGACTCATGCTCTCCAGGTGCCGCCTTCGCCTCCCAGGCCCCGGCCAAGGCCCGCTGTCGAGGCACAACAGGGTTGAGAAAAGAGAGTAACCACAAAAAGATTCGGAGGCTGTGTTGTTTTCATAGGGGCATGGATGCCTAGCCATGCGTGTATTGGCACGCCGTGATTATGTTGTGTCGTGGTTGGCCCCCACCCCCTACGCACTTTCATCGATTTCAGGTTGTGATTTTGAGTACACTTTTGACTCTCTTTGGGAGCGGGCGTGGCCAACTTGACGGCGCTTCCGTGGAGTCCCCTGTCAGGTACCTTGGTTCATGCTGGGGGAACCTGCCATTGACACTTTGACCGGGCCTCAGTGGGACTGGCCTGCACAAGGCCTAAGATTGGTTTCACGGATGTGAACGGATTCCTTTGCTTGGAAAGTGGCATGCAGTTGCAGCAGTTGTAGTTGTACGTTGTAGTTGCAGTTGAAGTTGTAGTTGCAGTAGGAGTAGTAGTAGTAGTAGTAGCAGGAGTAGTAGTAGCAGGAGTAGTAGTAGTAGTAGTAGTAGTAGTAGTAGTAGTAGTAGTAGTAGTAGTAGTAGTAGTAGTAGTACTAGTAGTAGTAGTACTAGTAGTACTAGTAGTGTAGTAGTAATAGTAGTAGCAGTAGTCGTCGTCGGCGTAGTTGTAGTTGTCAATGTAATTGTTGGTAAGTGTAAATGTTGTACATGAAAAAGTAAATGTAAGTGCTGCTGCTGTTGTTGTTTCCAGACGGCCGTTTAGAGGGGCTTTCGAACTGGCTCCGGGCACAGTTCCTTGCCAAAGGTTCCGACCAGGCTCCTTTTAAACGGTCAGGGGTTGTCCCGGACGCTGAGCCATGTTAATCCGGTCCAACTTATGCCCAGACACTGTTAAAGCATTGACTACTGTGCACGCGGTAGGGTTTCCACCTTCCGCGCGTGGCATTACTGCCAGTGCATTCACAAAATGCTTTTCAGACTTGGAAAAAATCACATACAGTCAGCAGCCAGCTTCCTATTGAGGTCAGGTGCTCACACCTACGCAGGTTCGTCGCATGGGCAACTGCCCTCCGCAGGTCAACGCAGCTCCCGCGGCCACCCCGTCCAGGCCACGAGCATAACAAAGAAATCCGGATACTTTTTTGGAATACTGGGACTTACACGACAGCAGCAATGGTTCGAAATACAGTCCTGGCTGTTCGCAGATGCTCCGCCTCTCGGCTGAAGTTCCCACGTCCGCCGAGCTTCTGTCCTCGGGGCTACCTGGATTCGGAAACCCAGCGATATTTTGACTTCCCTTTGGATTTCGAGGGACCGCTTGATCCTTCACAGACGGTGCCGAAAGTTCAGGCCGAGCGTGCCGAACGGGCCGCGCTGTACAAGGCACTTGCGCAAAGCGGGGCCGGCTGAAACCGGTGAGGGTGTCGAAGGCTCGTGTGAGGTGTGCCAGACGATTTGGTCAAAGACCGTTTGGACCAGGCCGGGCAACACTTTGTGCGATGTGCCCAGCTACTGGTCAGCCTCCATGGCGTCAGCAAGCGCGCTCCTCCCGATAATCCTCAGATTTGAAGGGCTGTTTGTATTTGTTCCAGGTGTCGGAGCAGAGGCTCGTAAAGAATCTCCTTCAGGGAGCCCATCCTCCGATTGAGTGTGTCCACGTTTTTGGGCACCTGTTCGCGGAGTTCGTGGAGGAGGATGAGCGTGTCCGGGTCAGTCCTGCGAGCAGCCGGTGAAGGGCCTGACCTCGAAGCGCAGCCCCTGCTTTCAGGGATTTCCAGGGCTTTGGGTCATTCCTTGTTTGGCTCTGCTCCGTCATCTCCTTCTCTCCGTCGCCGGTCCCTCGCCTTGCTCGCCATGGCCTTGCGAGCTTACGGAAACTGGCTGCATGAGCTGCGGCCCGCCGAGCACAGCGTGTCCCGATTCCCGAGCCGCTGCTGAAGGCTCTCGTTGCCCTCGCCTGAGTCACGGCGCATCCAGACTTCGCTGCAGTTACCCTCTTCGCTTTCTACGGTTTGGGAAGGAAAGGTGAGGTTTTGGCCGCCAACACAGAGGATTTGTTGCGCCACAAGAGGATCTCTGAGAAAGCTCAGGACATCTCTTTTTCAGGCTGGGATCTTCAAAGACTTCAACGAGAGGACGAGGACGAGTCCGACACAATAAGCTTTAAGGTCACTGATCCATATGCTATATTGCTGATTGGTGAAGCAGCTTTGGAAGGTCCGAGCCGTCTTTACGCGAAGACGGCCTCGGCTCATCGCTACCGATGGAACAAGCTGCTTCAGCTGCTCGGTGTGGACTCAGCCCTGAGACTTGCACCTGGGCGCGGCGGTGGAGCCGTTTGGTGCTGCAGAGCTGGCGTGCATATCGACGACATTCAGTGGCGGATGCGCCTGATGCACCCTGCAACCGTGGAGTTCTACTTACTACTGGCAGGAGGTTGCGGCCATCACTGCTCTGAACGCCTTGGGCGACTCTGCCATGCGGAAGATCAAAGCCGGGGCCGCGACCTACCCTTATGTTGCTGCGGCCGGTGGCAACCAATGAAGTCCCCTTCTGCCAGCATGCTGGGCCTGCGACCGCTTCGGCGCGTGGGCGCTCGTCGCCCCTTCTCGGGCCGTCTGGCCGTGGATGATGATGGGTGGAACTGTTTACTGTGTCCGCTTTTATGGTCATCTTGGATGTACGATCTCGATGCGACCACTTGCTTTTGGCTTCGGCCGCTTCGTGCTACGGTCGCAGGGCTAACTCGGCACAAGACAGGACTACCCGTGCACCTTCCTGAGGCATGCTGCTCAAAAGGCCGATGCAGGGGGTTAACTCCAAGGGGGGAAGCAGGGGTACAACATGATATTATTACGACCCTGCCTCCAACAACAACTGCAAGAACAAGCACAACTTCGTTCTTTACGTTGACAGCATTGGTACGTCGGAATTTTGTTTTTTGCGGGAGGTGCTCTCCTTAGGTGGGACTTTCTCTCTCAAGAGGGAATTTGTTTACTTTTTCACTTGACAACGAGCTTTCCTCAGCAATTATCTTCTTCCAAGACGATGTCGAGGTAGAAGATGGGCAATCAGTTCAAGGGCGAAAGCGACTTCATTGCCAGATTGCGACTGCATGACAGCCACGCTGTGTTTGGGTCCATCATGTTGCAGGCCAATGGCAAGACCACGTGACTGTACACTCGGCTTCCAATGGCTTCAAGCTGTAGCTGCACGTCTGGCACAGCTTACTAGTCCCGTTAGTCCGGTAAAGCTTTTTCATTTCACTTATGCATTGCGCAGTAGTCCCGTACATCGGGTGAAGGCCGGACATGCTGTTTTGTTGCCAAGCAAATCAATTTATTCTAGTAATCCCGTTCGTCGGGCTGGGTAACTCTGAGGCCGAAAGCCTAGCACTGCCATGGCACAGCCCTGTTGTGCTCGCTGCTTTTTGAAGCAGCAGTTAGTCCGCAGGCCAAGTCCAGACCCCAGGCTGGTCGGGTAAGTGCAACACCCCATGCTGCTTACGTAGCCTCCCAGTCTGGCGGACGACGCACGTCGTTTGCAAGTTATGTGGACTGGGTCCCTGACTGGCGATCTGCCGCGCCATCATGCGTGCTTAGGGTCAACCAGCCATATGCTACTTTACGCTGGTTTGTTGTGTTTTGTTGTTTGTTTTGTTTCAACCTGCTCACGAACGCTCAGCAGCCGAGCAAAGCCTACAAGTTCTGTGCGAAAAGAACCTGCAGACCATTTTTAAAACTTTGAATCCTCGGGCATCTTCGGACAACGGTGTGAAACAAGTCTTGCTGAGCTTTAGGCAATTTGGCACGATTGGCCAGCTTTGGGGCCGCTTCCAGTTCTGCAGTTGTTTGCTGAATTTGTCCTATAGCGTGTCAACTCATGAACAGCCTGATGCCCGCCAAGGTGCGGGAATGTAGTTGTGGTGCATTTTGTGTACAACCAACACCGTGCTCGATGCAAGTCGTCCGCTGGAGCTGCATGGCCCCCTGACCCGGCACGCAACAGTATCCTTCACAGGGGCCATCATCATGGCCATTGTAAAACATTTGCACCGTGAGGACAGTGACAATGGTCCCCGCCTGCAATTTCCGGTATGCATTGGGCACCGCCGTAGGAAGTTCGAGTCATTGTAGATAGCCGAAGTACAGTCTCGGACCCGAGATAGCGGCTCGGTGCCGCGGTGCGTCTTGCCTTAACGAAAGAAATATCAGAGTTCGCCTGGATATCTACAGCGAATAGTTGCTGCGGACATCAACCCGCACAAACAAACAAAAAAAGGCTTCCAAGCCCGTTGAATAACCGCAACAATTTCTTGCCGAGGAGCAATCATCCCGTGATGGAGACCAACCTTTTGATTGGAGAACCCACGGCAGTCCGCACCTCTGGATTGCGTAAATGTCGGCATTAGACTCGGATAGTGTGCATCTGGTTAGTTCCATTTGAGGTCAAAACTGCTCCGTTTGAATCGCTCCCTGACTCGCATGGGGAGAAGGCGACGGGTCCGGATTGTCAGAACTCTTCTTGAGGCATTGTGTTTGGCAATGGCCGGCAGGATATAATCAACGTCAGGGTGGCGTCGCCGGCACACGAGCAGCACCTCAAGCTTGGTCTCGGACTTAGAACAACTCATGGCCACAAGTCATTGGCATCACATGAAGAGATCTTACGAACGGAGGCGTAAGTCCAGTCCTGCTGGCTGCCATCGACCAGGCCCGGCTGTAGGGCCTGTTTCATGTTCAGCATAGGATGCACGCAGCGCCCCTGGATGACAGGCTTGCAAGACCGCCTGAGTCGCCAGGCAGTTCATTTGGCTTTGTCCGTGTGAGAGCCTTGGAGATCTCGATCTTGCCAGCCCCGGAATGGCTGCACAGGTATTGTGAGAAGTCGAAGTCGTTACCGAAACCTTCTGCATGCCTCGGGGGACCAAATCATGACGTACTTACCGAAGTCCGTGTGGTTGGGGTTTGCTATCCTCGCAATCGGCCATCTACCACACACGAAGTTGTTTCATGACATTGCCGGTTGCGCTTTGCACCGTATTCGATTCTACCAAAGTCGTTGTGGTTTTGTTTTCGCGGGCGGCAGTAGGTTACACTGAGAAAGATGATAAGCATGCAATATCGGAACATGGGCCGAAAGCAGAATCATTGAAACCTAATTGGAGGCTCTCATATCATTTTTCAAAGCCACAATACACACTCATACAACATGGTGCTTGAAATCGGGTTTGGAGGTATCGTCTTAATACGAACAATAGAGAGGGACAGTTATCGTCCCAGACCTGAAGAAAAACAGCAGTTGTGAGTCTGGGACTGGAACTGTGACCGGAGGATATCCATAGATGTCCATAGTGTACGTGAAAACGGGGTTTGTGTGTTGCGGTCACTTTTTCGCTTGCTTTGAGGGTGGGTTCGGTGGTGCGTGCGGCTGGGGTTTGGGGGATGCGGCTACTGTTTTCGCTCGATGGTGCGTTTAAGTTTTGGGGTGGCTACTGTTTCTTGCTGGCTTTGCGTGTATGTGCCTCGCGAGCAGATGGGGAAGCGCTTGTCGGGTGATGACTTGATTGACTGCTACGTAACCGATTTGTTCAGAGGGGTTTCATCATTCACTGCAGGACCGGTTGGGACTTCAGCATTTGACAGTAGCACCTTCTGCGTGTGCAAATAGCCGCATCTTGAAGTTGATGTCTGCAGTCGAAGGCATTCTTTAAAGGATACAGGTCTCGCAGGCCTCAACTACACGCTTTCCATTGTAAGTTTACGAGATCCATGTTGCAAGTGAGGGTCATTGGCGATCTGAGCTTCCAAGGAGGATTTTTTACCGCGGGCATACAGGTATTTCCAAGTGCACAGTCCTGAAAAGAGATGGCCGGTATGACGGCTGGCGAGCTTTTCTTCAAGGGTTAAGTGACTGAGTTTGGTGTGTTCCAACTAGACAAGGAATGAATGAGTCAATGCATGAACACAGTATGCTCGGCTAGTCTGAAGGCGCCGATACGCTCCCTGTGGGTGGTGCCAGCCCGTCGCAAGTGCAGTGGCCTAGGAGCCGCTTTTGTCGGCTGCATGGGAGTCCAAAGACACTCTGAAAGACATCAACAGAGTACTGCAGTAACGCAGAGTACAGACTCTGGCTTCGTGCGAGCTCGGCGGACTCATGCTTCGCTGACAGCGCTTCGCATGAGCTGCAAACCCCAGCAGCCAGCAGCTCGCAGGCCCTTTGAGCGGAATCATATTTAAATTTGCGCGTCGATGTCAGCGCCCGGTTCCTGTCGAAACTGGCATTCTACTTTGCTCAAGGCTCTAGTTTGCTGTGTCCGGCCGGGTCGCCGCACACTCCGAGTTCTGAGGCTTAGGTGCAACCGCTGGCCAGGAAGGATGCTGCCAATGTGGCATAAGTGCTTCCGACTTGCCAACCGTTCCTTGCGTCCGCTTCCATCCTTCTGAGTGGCGGTTCCAGTGGCAAATTTTGCTGCGTTTGAAGCTGCAGTGCCATTGGAAATGCACTGACTGCCCTTTGCTCAGACGACGCTGCTGATTCTTTTAATCATTGTTCAAGCGCAGTTCCTTCTGATCGCGTACCGGTGCTTCCCAAGATTCGTGTGTGGGTCGTAGTTTTGGTCTTTGTGCGGTGAGTGCTGGCCGGTCGTGCCTCCCTGAGAGTCATCCACATCCCTTTCACGGCTTTTGGTGCTACTTGGGGAGCACATCTTCCACACAGGAGGAACGGCAGAACGATGCGAGAGAGCAGTTTGCGCTTTCGCAGCAATCCCGATGAAGTCGGCAACCAGGTTGAGCATATCAACAATGGCAGCTTTTCTCACCGTCTTTCCCCTACTGGTTGCCCTTTTCTCTGAAGGCTAGAAGCCGTTGCCGTCCGTGCAGGTGTAGCAGTAGGACACGCGGAGATGTTCCCTTGTGGCGTATCTACAGAGAATCACGGTCAAGCTGCCAGACAAGCTGAATTGGAGAGAGTACACACAGAGGAGCATGAAGTGTAGCATTAGGATTGCAGGGCACATGACATGCAATGTCTGTCATCGAAGGCACGTACGACGTATTCCTTATTGAAATGATGTTGCCAAGGGGGTACTTCGGGAAGCCATGTACGGGCTCCATCGTCTCTCCCATGGCCACCATGGTCGGCCAAAGGGGTCCTTAGCCGCCTTAGCCTTCTTGAAACTTATCGTATAATACATTTTACCCACAGCGTGGCTTATGACTCCTGCGGTGCGCAAATGACGCACACACGCATCTGCAGGCGGCTGTCAGACAAGACGTTGCTCAACTAAGAATTGTGTTTGTGGATGTGCGAGCTGAAGTAGCTACTAAAAGTTTTGCTGTGCGGCCGCCACATCTTCCACGGTGCTCAGCACCCAATGACGGTAATCTGTCCATCCGCACCTGCATTGCTGGTGACCCACGATTTGACAACCAATTGTCACGCTAGATAGACTAGCCATGCAAAGTCGATTTGTTGCCTAAAATCCATGCGCAGAACCTTCTCTGGTAAAAGGTGATTCCAGACTTTGTTGTTGGCGAGCTTCCTACAAGGACCGTACGGCGGGTGCAGATTCCGCGCGACCCATCCAAGTGCGGAGCACCGTCGCAGCTTAGAGCATCTCACATCCGATCCTGGCCGGTCAGTTATGGTTGTGGGCAAGCCTCTCCGGCGATTTGGAACGCAGGACTACAGCAGGAGGTGGCTTGCTCGCTTGGGGTGAAAGGGTCATAGCAAAAGAGGTATGGACGACGCTATTGTGTGCCGGTTTTGCTGGCCTGCGCCAGCCACGCTCAGTTCCCTTTCTCAGGTCACTCTCGCAAAGCCCTGGTTCCACTGTGAGTGATGCAATGATACACTACATGTAAGGATTGTCATTTTTCCATGTGCGGCTTTGGACTCATGGGACGGGCATTGGCGATGACTCGCAGGAGGGGTGAAGAATTAGTTTTCAACCTGAACGGTGTCTTGTAGAAGAAGGCAAGTGGGGAACCCGAGCAGGTTCCCTGATGCCGCTTGCCATAGAGCTTCGCTGAAAGAGCACAGCACGGGATACATGTCAGCTGCCAGGCTGTAGAGACTCTGAATATCAACTGTGCGCTGATCCTCCCGTGCAAAAAGAGTTGTAACCGGACATGCCAACAGATGCCAGCTGTGTCCACTTCGCCTTTGCTCAATTGCAGAGCACTTGTTCACTTGTTCTTTCTGCAATCCTGGGGTCTGCATTGCTCGTGTTTCTGCTCGAGAGCCCAAGCCCAAGCTGCAGTGCGCTAGTGGAGGGCCAGGAAAGGGTGATATGCTGGCCCTGGCCAGAGCTAGCTGTGCCTCTGATCGATGATCCTTGAGCCTGTAACTGCAAGTGCGAAGCGTTCGGCCTCCCTGCCAGCGCAAAGGCCGACCCCACGCAGCGTGAGCCCCTGCCCTTCTCTGCAGTACCCCTCGTTCCAGTTCTTCAAACCGCCGAAGCCCCTCGAGCTGGCTCCTAGCGCTCTTAGCCTTGCCGCGGCTACAGAGCACGGGAAGCTGGGCGCCTGTGCTTGTCCTTCGCGACTACCTGATCCCCTTCCACTTCCGCTGACCCAACCGACTCCTCGGTTCGCTCCGGTACTCCCAGCTTTGGAGAGCAAGTTTCAGTTTCTGAAGAGCCCTACCCGAAGGGAAGGTGGAAATCGGGACCGCCGGGACCTGCAGGAGCTTGAGCGACATGTGCTCGAACTGGTGGAAGGTCAGCGCGGTCTGCGCAGAGAGCTTCAGACCTTGAAGCAGCAAGCAGCAGCTCAAAGTCGTGAGCTGGAGTCAATGCGTGCGCATGTTGGGCGTCCAAAGTTGCCACCAACACGCAGTCCGGATGTTCCTCTGCCTCTGTCGTTCCGTGATGGGAAGCCAGCTTCGGCGGCTCGAGCACGATCAGGGAGTCGACCTCGGATAGCCGAAAGTGCCCCGGGCGATCCGGTGGTGAATCCTGCAGCTTCAATGCAAAGCCGCGGTCAACATTGGGATGACTCTGTTGCAGATTGCTTGCTCTGTACAAAATAGTCTATGAAACGAGCCGACACGAAGTGCGGGAGAACATGCCGTCGGTCTGATGTGTTTTGAGCTGAGCCTGGAGTCTGTCACTGCACAGGAACATGACATCTTTTCAGAGACAGCAGCCTAGCGGCTGAGCCTAGCATGGTCGGAGAATATCTCTCTCTCGTTCTTCGGCAAGGCCTCCAGCTTCCATTGGAGGTGAAGTATTGGACTCGCCAGCAGCTGGAAGTGTTCGGACCTAAGTAGTCAGCGTGCAACTTCCCAGAAAACATGAGAAGGCTCGTTGGGGGTCTCAACGTGGAACGTGGGCAGGTTCGTCATGAGCGGCGGCGTTCTGCGGCCCAAGAACTGCTCCATACCCGATGAGCGTCTTCTGGCCCTTTGGCCCGCAAATAGACTCAGTGGGAGGTTGCGACTGCAGAACTGAAGATGCCTGCCTTGTTGAAATAGAACCTGTCGGATCCACAGTTCATGCGGTATGGGTCGTGACAATTGCAGAAGCAAGAGTTCGTGGCTGCTCGCGTCTCATTAGCAGGCAAACGCATCCATGAGCAAGGATGAGATTGTTCACTCCTTGGCCCAGGCTTGCACAGTTGCGAGACGAGAAGTAGCGTTTCTGAGCTTTGTCTAGGCATCCGCGAGATCGTGCGAAGTTGTCGCACTTGTCATTGAGTCATGAGCGACACACAGATGAGATCTTGATTTAGGGGTTGATTTTCTTTGCCTGCCGTGTCCTGTCGTCATGTGTCATAGACTTTCGACATGGAATCCAGCTAGACTCGCCAAACGGGCCGAAGAAAGCCCGACTCGTCCAGACGCAGTCTTTATCGCTGCACTGCAGGCGGCGGAGTGGATCGCCAATGCAGATGCGCTGCTAATTGGCAGCGGCGCATGGCACTGAGGGTGAGTCTGTGCGAGAATGAGCAAGCAGCACACAAGCAGCAACAGCTCAAGTGCGAACGTTTCGAGGCTGGGATGGGCGTGGACTCCGGACTAGGTACTTTCCGTGGCGGAAAGAAAGGCCCGCCAGCAGCCAGCATGCCGTATTGCCACGCCAGAGCGACGATGAAGTGCCTTCCTAAGGTGTCTGGGATGGCCTGGAGGCAGTTGGTTTGGCATACGAGGACTGCGACACAGACATGAGTGGCCATACAGTGCACAGCGAAGTCCCAGCAGCCGCCAGGAGATCTGCGAGCCTCGATGGTTCGACGAGGTCACAGCTTCGAGACACTTGCAGTCCGGCAGTATCCTGCACTGCCTCACATGCTACAAGCGTCTCGCAGGCACCAACGTATTGAACAAGAGCACATGAGAGCACCTTCAGAGCCATTTTCAACAATTCAGGACTAGATGTCTTAAGTCGCAGTAGTTTTTTTTGTTTTGTTTTCGGATCTGCGCATTAATGCAGTCAAAGATTCACCTGCCGAGTTGCAGATGCAGTCCAAATATTTCCAAACATGGCTTCAGGCATCCGATCGCCTTCGAACCTCCCTTTTTGCTTCATCCAATCCGATGAGCCACTCATGCAGCGTTGCTCTCAATGTACGCCAAATTTGAGCATATACGTTTCACCGTGCAGCTTAACCCAGTGTGAGGTTGTTGCATTTCGATCACCACTACTGCCCTTTCCCATCCCCACAATGATGGTTGCAAGCAGTAATTCGCAGCTTTGGTGAGACCTCCGGCGATCCGCGATTGGCCTGGGGCTTCTGGAACCATTGCTACCGCGCATACCAGGACAGCCGGGTGCATGTGAATGTAGGGTGAGCAAGTTGCCGCCGCCTTGCACAGGAGACCAAACCACACTCGGGTTACGGTGCCCTGAAGCAGCTCGGTGTGGGTCTTGGCCACCAGCGTGTCCACCCTTGTTACAGGGTAGATATGGCCTGAAAAGTTCTACGAGAAGCGACAAATGACTGCGTCCAGGTGGTATCACGTGGCAGCCATTAAGACTCTCAAACAACAGTGGACTATCGATATCGGATACCGGAAAAGGTGTCGGAGATTGATCCAGAAAGCTGTTGTTGACTCGCATCATCAGCACAAACCACAGAGCATCAACTGCTTTTGCCACTCTGCATCCCGCGGCTTGCGCCTGCAAAATGACGGTCTCCCTGCAGACTCAAACCCCGGCCAGCGCTGCAAACTCGTTAGTATTTGTGGTGACAGCTAGCAGCATCTTTCCAGCCATGCCCATCTCCGGGCTGCTGAGTGCTGCAGCGCTCGGTGGTGTGGGCCAGACAATATGGCAATACAACCGAGAGCGACTTGGACAAACTCGTGGGCAGGGAGGTTTTGTCAGGATTTCTGCCCCCCCCCCACGCATCACAGTAGACATCAGTAGACATGACAATGGAGCAGGCCAAGTGCTGTGCGAGTAGCGGTTTGATTGCTTGATCAGGAACTACATGTTCGATGTCCCTTTACGACAAGCCCGTGAGTTCCAAGTGCAGAACGTGAATCTGGCACGCAGCCTGGCGAAATTCGTAGCTTTCGATTGACGGGTAGTTCTTCTGGTCCAGGAACATCAGATCCCGGCTCTTGTTTGAGAGACAGTGACAATACGGTCTTTGGGCTCCTACAGTGCTACTCACTTCCTCTTCTGAAGAACGCTGCCGCTGAGCCGTTGCTGCTGCGCAGCGCATCGTATGCAATGGAATTTCAAGGTTTTGCCCTCTTCCGAGAAGACATCCGTGACCTTGCAGCTTTGACGACTGACAAGGTCCAGGTTTTTGTGAGCAAGTTGGCACAACACCTGATTTGCTGCTGTGGCAGGTGGCGAACCTGCTGGTTGTCAACACTCTCAAGGCTATGCGAACTTGGGGCATTGGAGAAGTCACATTGGGTTTGAGCTTGTCTGTCACTGGCTCTTGGATCGATGGCAGGTTGGTTTTATTGCCACCTGGCCAACATTGGAATTGTTGGACTTTTTTGGCTGAGGGGATGTGTGCATGTGCTGTCTGTCGTCAATCGCACGTGTATAAGTGCCGTGCAGCTCGCTGTTACCCCGAGCTTGGGCTGCACGTGACAGCTCGTTGGGGAACTTACTGGTCCTGTCGCATTTTGCTGGGGGATTAAGATTGCTCTGTACTATTTCTCGCGGGCAAAGGGCCGGAGATCTCTTGCTTTGTGCGCTTGGCATCAGCTCGACCACGAGCCATATCCAGGTAGCGCTGTACTTCAATTTCGACCGCACCGACAGCGGATTCCAAGAACGGACCTATCAGGAGGATCAGCTCGCTGTACTTCTGCACCTTGGAAGTTACGAAGGGCGCAATCTGACGAGTTTTGTGATGAATACATCGTGTGGCAAGCTTTGTTCTTCAATGTCCTTCACTGAGGGGAATGACTCTCCTGACGTCCTTTTTTTTCCTGATGACTTCGATGCGTGGATGCAGACATGGGGTTTGCATTCTGTGTGGAGTGCTCTCCATTGCCCCACTGCCACCCACTGCCATTTCTATCCAATCAGAGAATCACAAACCTGCTGTCAAGTAAGCCGTGCGGCCGGTGTGGTGCCCAGGATATGGTTCGCTATGCACGCGCTGCAGCTGGCTCAAGCTATCACTACCAAGCCTCTCGGTGGTGAACTCGTGCAGAAACCACCAAACGTCGCTTCGCTGTTCTGCGGAGTTCCGTGCCCAGGCTTCTGGTGCAGGTCGTGCGCATTCCCATGCCATCTGAGAACGAGATTGCCAAGGTTGGCAAGGGCTAAGAGACTTTGAAAAGGTGTCGTTATGTGTCGTTAAGGAGGGTAAGCCAAGCCTAAGAACAAAACATCCGTACGTGTGGGAACACTTCGGATCAAGACTGCACGACGACAGTGACAGGACAGGACAGCAACATGATACACATGACATCAAAGCAGCAAGGCCACTTTGATGTCAGACGGACAAGTGCCGGAGTGGGGCTTATGTGAGCAGGCACGTGAGGTGTCAGGCAGGCAAGAGCACAGGAATGTGCCTTCAAGAAGCAGCGTTGACGAGATCTTAGCAACGCGATATTGTGCTCCGTTGTTGCTGCCCAGCATTTTTCGGTTGTTGAAAGAGAATTCCCCGAACCTGAAGATGTAGTTGTCTTATAACTCTGCACGAGCGTGTGTGTGTGTGTGCTCACTTAGACCTGTTGTCACAGGGCCAAGGCTGCAAAGGAACTTGGACACAACTGGTGGCCGGGCCACTTGCCTCACAGTGCGGGACTGCAGGGACAGGGTCTGCGTGCGCAGCACCCGCTGAATCATCGACTCGATGAAAGCTTCTGTACGAAAAAAGACATGCCCTCGCGTGGGGCTTCTGTGCAGATGGATATATCTTCCCAGCTCTGTGATCGGGCTGGTCGTTTTTCTGATGATGATTTGCGAGCGTTGCCGTTCGGCGAATCCTGATGTGATTTCGATCGCTGTGACTCCACGTTCGAGAGCGGCGAACTTCGTGAGCTGTGGCTAAGACATGTCAATGTGATTTGGCGTTTTATGAGGTTTTCTGATGCTACATGAGGAACGAGATAGGGCCGGCAGTTGAAGCGAGGTGGTTAAGGACAGTGGAGAGTGTGCATATATATTACTTATATTCATGCTATGCGCATTTCAGTCATTGCTTCAGTCTGACTTACATGAACTGATAAAACGCTATTGAGACACTCAATGATTCTCAAATAAAGTTTCAATATAGATGCTTCGCGTCGTCCGCCTAGCCCGGTTGTAGCTGAAGCAGCTGCGATTCCAATCTTTAGGGACGGGGGGTGGGGGGGGGGCTAATGAGGTGGGAGAAACGGAATTCTCTGTGAAAACTCTGGCCCGCTTCGGAGGCGAATATATGTTTGCTAGCGCGAACACGTTTGGGCTTTTGGTGCGGCGTGGCTAACATGTGGGGATCAATGATTGTTTGGCAGCCAGTGCTTCTTTGCAGAGCATTGCCAGGCATCCACCGAAGGAAAAGATTTCGAGCTGAACTTTCGCGAGGCCTCCGGAAGTCTCGTCCGTCCGTGCACAGTTTTGTAGCTTAGTGAAGCGATGCAATTCTGTTTGTTGTGAAGAGCTTTCTTTGTTACAGCTTTTGGATGCGAATGCATCGGTCTCAAAGGCGCTCCGACTGCCGTTCGTTCGTCCTGCGGCGCTCAACAAGGCAACGAGTGAAGCGGGCAAATTGTGGTACCGTGAAGATTCGTCCTGCGACGATCCAGGACACTCTGCGGGATCAAATGAAGGACGTCGGCCGTCAGTTGCCGCAGCCGCTCGCATTGCACAAGCGATCTGGCCGTGTGCACACTCTGGAAGCACCGAGGTTGGCCGAAGAGGTGAACCGGGAGGACTCCAGGCACAGCCGGGCAGTAGCAGAGAAGTAGAACATGATCGCCGTCCGCAGGCGCTGCTCTTCCCACTAAGAAACGCTTGCCAAACCTTGAGAAGGCTTATGGCCCCTGGCGCCCCCGGCCTGCAGGCTATCAAACGACACCCGTGCAGCCAGCCCGGCGGCGGCTCCATCTCCGACAGATTCCAAAGGCCCTGGTTTCCCACTTGTGCTGTGTAAGTCCGTGTAAATTCGCCAAAGGCACGCCGTTGCTGCAGACGACGAGACCCATGAATTTGGAGGTGTCGATGCAGGATGCTGAAGGGGCGGTGGAGTGCAGCTTCTGAATCGAATTTGCGGCTTTTCGCTCTGCTAGCCGCAGCTCGCCGCTGCTTGCCTGCAGGAGCTGCTGCACTGCCTGCCTCCTCACGCTGCCGGAGCTTTCTCCGAGATGGAGCCGCAACTTGGAGTGAACGGCTCCAATCTGCCTCTCCCTATGTCGTACGTCAAACAGGGCTTCAAACTGCCTCCTGCCAAGGCATCTGAAGCTACTTTGCTTAGTGGCATCTGCCTGGCAGCCTTTTGCATCTTGGCCGCACGTCCTTCAGGATATGTGGTGGCCCGTCGCATCGAACAAAATGGCTGCACGTGCTGCAGATGCTGCACTGATGCTGCAGTGATGGGGAAGCATGTCCTGTCTTCAAATTATCCGGTGGCGCGGGGTTGCTTCAAGTGATTCTTATTGCAACCAAGGACCTGTACAGCCGGGTTACTACAGACGCCTGGCTGTTTTAACGTATTCTGTTTTCCCAATCGTGGCTAACCCCCAGTGGGTCAGGTCCTCGGATCTTCCTGTCTGTTCAGTGGCTTGGCATATTTCTCCTTGCCCCTCGGCTGCAGGATGATTGGGGGACCAGGAGCAAAAGAATACTTTTGCCCTTTGGGCCTGTGAGCTTTGGAGGTACTACAACAAGTTTGACGTTGACGGAAGCAGCAGCATGCCCACGGAGGCTGGGAGAGGAGAGCCACCATGGCGTACCTCCCGCATTGCCGGAGCGAGGCTTGGTGCAGCTTTTTGTTTATGTCGACATTGGCTTGGTGGAACCTCACCATCGAGATTTCAGGCCCCATGCTCACATGGGCGATGGCGTCATGATAGGGTTGTGACGGTGGTGAGACGAGGTAGCAAGCTGGACCTTTTCGTTGCTGCACTGCTAATTCTGGTTGGTCCGACGCTGTGGCCTCGGCCTGAGCGCCCGCTGAGCCCGCCCGCTGGAGTTGTGGAGCCGGGCACCTTTGGCTCAGGGTGGCCTCGAACAAGCCGACACTACATGCCAGCGTGATGCAGCATTTCGGCTACCCGGTGTTGGTGACCATCCAGGCCCTTGCACAACCTTTCGTTTTGCCATACGTTCCAAGACCCATGAGAGGCCTCCTGGATTTGCTTCTTGGGCATCCGAGCCTTCACGTGTGGTGGGGTGACTTGCCGAGAGACGCCCAGAGCGCGCGGCGCACACACCACCTTGCTTGCTGCGTTGAGGAGTGGCCTCACTTTTTCACGAGCACCCGCTACCTGAACGTTGTCCACAAGCAACGGGGTCCCATCGAAATCCCCGTGGACATCGCGCGGAAGGCTCCTTTCTGTTCTGACACAGATTCCACAAACACTGCTGGCTCGAGGTGCATGAAGACGAGGATACTTCCACGGAGTCATCTGTCAATTTCAAGGACCTGCCTTGTCCTCCCACCCAGCGAACATCTGTGCAGCTCAATCCCAATCGCTCCCAGGATTCGCAGCATGCCATGGCCTTGGCGCAGCCGCTGATCGATGTCTTAAGCCTCATGCCTTGCAAGAAATGGGAGGTTGTTTGTGTAGAGATGCCCTGCTTGCGAAGACTTGCTGCAGGTTGCATCGGCGATTTGCCTCAGTCCTCCTCTTCCCGTGCGGCTGTGTTCCAGGCCATTTACATCTCAG